ATAGCCTTGAACTCATTATGTAGCCCAGGCTGGCCTTGAACTAGAGGCAATTTTCCTGCTTCAGCCTCCTGGTGAGATTTAGATTTTATTTATTTATTTATTTATTTGGTACTGAAGATCAAACTCAGGACCTTGCACTTGTGAGGCAGGCGGTGGAACCACTGAGCTAAACCCCTGGCCCGAGACTTAGATTTTAAAGACATCATTAAATATAAAGACACTTTTTTTTTTTTCTAAAATGAAGTGCAGAGGAAGGCAGTCCAGGGTTAGTACAGTAGCTCATAACATCTTTTATCTTTTGCTTAGCTATTATCAATGGGTTGGCTTTTTTCTTCAGAATTATATATAAATGCTCACCAGAGCTGTATTATCTATAAATATCATGTCCTCATATAGTTATACCCAATGGGAGAAAAATAGCAGCTTTTCTTCAACTCTACATTTTCATCAAGGAAGAAAATTTATCTCAGAGCCTCTAGTACATTTCCTCTACCTCCCACTGTCTCAGATGGAGTCAGGTGCCTGAAAAGGGTTGTGTGTGTGTGAAACTGTGTGTGTGTGTGTGTGTGTGTGCATGCTTTGCATTGTCAGATAGGCAACTAATAGTGTCTGACACTAAGAATAAAATGAAATTGCAGTGTTTCTTCAAGAAGCTTTGTGTCTCTCAGGCAGAAAAGCTGTACTTTTATTACAATTTCTGTGTGGTAGATTCCTGGACATATTTATGGATTTCAAAGTAGAGATCCACTTTAAATTGCTCAAAGTTTTTCTAGGACATTTTGAATTTGCAGCTGCTAAGCCAAGCCTGTTCTTTCCCATTGTTCTTAGTTTTTAGTTATGTGATCTGTTCTGAGTATCTTTTTCAAGAATAATGTTCAGATATAAAGTATCAATTTATGTAACATATTTTTGGATTTTTTTTCTCCAAAATGCTCTTAACCTTCCTTCTTCCAGTGCACAAATCCCATCTATTTATTTGGCAAGTATCTGTTGCATACTTACTACATAGCAAACACTCTTTAAAAAAAAAAAAAAAGAAAAAAAGAATTGGGAATATAAGACTTGAGCTCTAGCTGGATGTGTGGTGCATAAAGATTGGTAATTAAGTGTGGGGGGTGTTTAGCTCAGTGGTTCTGCTGCCTGCGTCACAAGCATAAGGTCCTGAGTTCAATCCCCAGAACCTCCCCATAAAACAATAAAAACAAAAACAACTAAAAAATTGACAAATGGTGAGGAAGAATGTTGTACAATGGAGAACAGGCAAGGAAACTTACACTATGGGGATGGGAGCTGAAAGGAAACCTGTGTTTTGGTTTGTTTAAGACAGGGCCTTGCTAGGTTGCTAAGCTGACCTGGCTTAGCTCAAACTTGCGATCTTCCTGCTTTAGCCTCCCAGAGTGATGAGTTTACAGGCATACACCACTGCATCTCGTGGGAAGTCTTCTTGAAGCTTTCTTTGGTGGACTGTTTAAATCCTCCCCGATTTCATATATGAAAATCCTAATTCCCAATGTGGTGATACTAGGACTTGGGGCCTTAGGGGTATGGTTAAGTCATAAGGGAGGAGCCATCACCAATAGTATCAATGATGTTATAAAAGACACCCTGAAAGAGCTCTCTGGTCCTTTTTCTGTCTCATAAGGACACAGTGAGGTGATGGTTGTATATCAATCGGGAAATGCCCCTCACAAGACATCCAGTCCTCTGGCACCTTGATTTTGGACATTTTAGTCTCTAGATCTGTGATAAATAAATGTATGTTGTTTAAGATATCAAGTCTCTGGGATTCTGCTGTAGCAGTCCAAACAAACTAAGACAATTTCTTTAAATGACAACTGAAGAAAAAATATGAACTGGGAGAGGGAGGGAGGGGAAAAGTGTTCAAAGTAGAGAAGTGTATATAATAAATTACAGAAGTGAAATGAAGTAAAAGCGCTGTTGAAAACAGCCTCTGTAATTCCTTGTCCCCCCCAAGACATTTTTTTTCATTTGCTGAGCCACATATCACTTAATATTCCAACTTTTAGACCATATGATCTCTGAAGGCAAAATGTACAACTTACATAGAACACCTGATAAATACAAAGGAGAATGAGGAGAATGAGGTTGTATTATGTATGTGTCAATGCAAAATGAATGCTTAGGTGGGCACGGTGGTAAACGCCCATGGTTCCAGCTACTTGGGAGCCTATTGCCTCAGCAGGGAGGATCACTTGAGCACAGAAGTTTGGGAAAGTCTGGGCAACACAGAATGACCCAATCTCCTAAACAGAAAAGAAGAAAGTTTACATCTATGAGGTCAGAAGTGGACTATACCATCTGTCTCTTCCAAGTAATATGGAATAGCACCACCTGTCTAGGTGACGACAGAGACCAAAGCAGCCGAGAGGCACTGATTCATAAAAGTTCTGGAGGAAGTACCAAGTAATTATAGTTCCAATCCTCAGATGTTACTTTAAAGGCTATTTTAGGAAGCATAATGAAAACAGCCACTGACTTGTGTTTAAAAGAGCTTTTAAAAAATATTTCTTGGTTTTGGCTACTTTTTGTGTGTCACGGTTCTGGGTTACTATTAGGGAAGGCTTATCAGACCTGAAAAACTACTTGTAAAATAGTTTTAAAAACCAAATGTCATGACTTAGGTTCTTGCTATTTCATTTTAGATCCATGTTCTGAAAACCTTCTACCGCTTTGCTGAGAGGAACTAGCAGGAAGCAAATTTTTATAAGAAAGTCTTGGGATATAGTTATATTCTTTATAGGCCAGAGTAAATTATATTTTTAAAACTTCAATTCCTCTCCTTAATTCTAGGTCAACAATTCATCCCTGGGGTGAGAAGGCACTTGATGCTGTCATTTCTATAGCTAAGTAAATATCCTCCAAATAATGAGTAAAGATATATACATGTGTTTCATAAATAACAAGATATTGTAAGATTATACATGTCTTGTAAATGAAAAGATCCATTTATACAAATGTAAGGACTCATTTTTTATTAACCTAGGAAGCATTTTTTTTGTTATCAGTTTTTAGAAGGGTACTCTTCAAAGACAGAATTTTCTTTTCTGCCTCTTACCTCACAGGACGATGAGGTGTGTGGCTAGTTACATGGATGCCATAATCTATAACTCAATGGTTCTTTGTTTTTTTGAACTGGCCATTAAATCCAAGGCTTTCACATCAAGCTACATGCCAGAACTTTCTTAAAAAAAATTTTTTAAAAAAAAAATTATGGGTTAGGGTTGCTAATTTACCTAGGCTGCGCTTGAACCTGTGATTCTTCTGCCACAATCTGCCAGAGTGCTGGGATTATACGTGTGTACCACCGTGCCTGGTCTGATGGTTCTTAATGTTTTATCTTTTATTAATAGACTTTAAAATACTTTTAGATTTATAGAAAAATTAGACAGGCAGTGGAGTTCCCACTTATTTCCTATTCCTGTTTCCTCTAATAACATCTTACATTAATATATTTATTGCAATTAATTAATCAATATCGGTACCTTATTATTAACTAAAGGCCACTTTATTAAGATTTCCTTTGTTTTTGTCTAATGACCTTTTTATGATTTGGGATCCTATACAACTGAAAGTTAAATTTAATTGTTCTGTTAGTTGTCATGTTTGTTAACATATCACGTTAGTTGTCCACATTATGTTTAGTTCTGCTATGTCCTTAGGCTCCTCTTGGTTTTGTTAGTCACCTTCATTTTTTTTGGATTATGAACCAGACTGAAAATCTGATGAAAGGTAAGAATCCTCTCCAAAGAAACGTGGACTTCAGTCTAATTTAAGGGAGGCCTATTCACAGCACCTTCAGAAGCCTTGCCTTTGAAAAGTTATCTCTAAAATATCCCTTTCCCAAAGCTTTTGTACATAGGAGAGGAGGGGGTTTGAGAGAGGAAATAGGATAAAATAAAATTTATTTAAAAAATAAAATATCCCTTATCCCAGATTTGGACTTTAGTTCAGGCTTTTCGGTTTGTTGTGTGATCTTTTGCCAAAGTGCTTTTTATGTGGGCCTGTTTAATCTTCTGTAAAACGAGGGGTTTGGTTTACACGCTGCCTTAACCCATTCCTGGCAAAGTAAAAGGCAAGCATCATCTGGAGTTATCACCATCTAAGCAGTAAGGGTTGGTAGGGAGGACCAGATTAAGTTATTCCAGGGAAATGGATGAGCTTATCAATAAGGAGGCTGCAGAGATTCAGGTGAGAAAAATAGGGCTCCACTTCAACGGTTTGTACATTTTGCAAGTCATTTCCTTCCTCTGGGCTTCAGTTTCCTCATCTACAAAACGAGGAGGCCTTGCTTCTGGTAACTATGAGACTCCTGGGAGTAGCAAAGAATGCGTCCGGCAAGATAAATGATAGGACGGAGAAAGGAGGTGAAAGGCAGGTCTGAGGAATGCGAGGCAGGGCCGAAGACTTAGGAAAGAAGTACCTACTATATGGCTACGTAATGCCACCCGTGCTCTGCTGGAGTTCTTTCACCACGGTCCCAGACCCGCCTCCTCACTTTCCTTCTCTTCCATCGCCTCAGATGCGCCACACTTCGCATGGCGGCTGCTATACGCCGCTCCCCACTACTCAAAGGGCGAGCGAGCTACCCGCCGTCGCCACTTCACTCACGGACCTGCCCGCCCTCTGCCTTTTCGGATTGGCTGATCGCGTAAGTGACGTAAGTGCTCCATTTTTCTACCCTTCAGTTCCACCTCTTCTTTGCTTCTGCAGACGCAAGCGGAAACGTAACCTACTGAGGTTTCGGCTGCGCCGGGGCGCCGGCTGTGGTGGGCCGACCAAAAGGCCCTGGCGGGGGCGCGCACGCACAACGCGCACACGG